TAGGATCACTCATCTTTTGTATTATTAATTTAGTTGCAGTGTGGATCCAGCCTTAAAGGTCACATAAGTGTCAATTAGTAAAATTAAATGTGCTAACATGAACTATTGAGGTCTGTCTGAGTCCAGCCATTGTTAATATAACAAAAATGGCTTGTGAGACATCAATGTAACATGGCAGCCAAGGAGAGTGGGCTGGAAGTCAGGTGCATGAACAATGACAACTTCACTGTACTAGTCAGTGGGGGCAATGGACACCACTGAGTGAGCATGTATACTGTGTGGCTGTTGCATTCAAAACAACTGAGTGAGTAGAACAATGAATGTGCATCAAATTTCACCTTATGCTTGAACATTCCTGCATGGAAACTGTTCAGATGATTCAGAAGGCTTTTGGAGATGATGCAGTAAGTGCAGCGCAAATAAAAGTATGGCACCAATGCTTCAAAGATGGTTGAGAATCTGTTGAAAGTGATCCATGTTCTGGAAGGCCTGCAACAAGCAGAACACCTGAGAATGTTGAATGCATATGGGCTGCAATCCACAAAGATCAGCAACTGACAGTGCGAGAACTAGAAGCTGATCTGGGAATTCCAAAAACTACTGTGCCTGAGATTTGTAGTCAGGATCTTGGCATGAAATGTGTCATGGCAAAATTCATTCTGCACCTTCTGCTACCAGAGCAGAAGGAACGTCAGTCATGCTGCAGTCACTAATGATTCAAACTGCTTCCAACAAATCACTTCCAACAAATCAGATTTCCTCGAGAAGGTCATAACTGGAGATGAATGGTGGTCTATGGCTATGATCCCGAAATGAAGACCCAGCTGTCCCAATGGAAGTCTCCTCATTCTCCATGCCTAAAGAAGGTGCAGCAAAGTCACAGCAAGATCAAGACCATGTTAACTGTGTTTTTTGATTGGGAAGGTGTTTTCCATCACAAGTACACCCCTCCAGACCAAACAATTAATAAAGGGTACTACCTCAATGTTCTTCAGTGGTTGAAAGAGGCAATATGATGAAAACCACCACAGCTATGGGCAACTGGTGATTGGCAGTTTCATCATGATAATGTGTCTGCTCATGCATCGCGTCTGGTGCAGAGGTTTTGGGCAAAAGATCAAATCACCCAGGTGACTCAGTCCCATACAACCCAGATTTGGCACCCTGAGACTTCTGGCTTTTCCCAAAAATAAAATCACCTTTGAAAGGGAAGAGATTTCAGACCATCAATGAGATTCAGGAAAATACGACAGGGCAGCTGTTGGCAATTCCAACAAAGGATTTCGCAGAGAGTTTTGAACAGTGAAAGAGATGCTGGGAGAACTGTGTTAGGTCACAAGGTGCCTACTTTGAAGGGGACTAAGACATCATTGTCTTATGTACAGTGTTTCTTGTGTCTTCTTCAATAAATATCTCCATTTTTCAGATTACATGGCTGGGTACTTTCTGGACAGACCTCATGCATTGTTACTAGATCATGTGGTCTTGACTAATAGTGAGAGGCTGGGTGAGTACAATGGTTTCCTGCTATTTTTATTCAGCATTCTGTGTTGTCCAAGTCCTCCACAATCTGCACAGAAATCTAAATTTGCTGAGTTCAATCCACATCAGGCATTTGTGAGCCTGTTGACATATATCCTTTCTTTTATTGCTCATGACAATGCTAACTTTATGTGCAATGTTATCTTCCTACTTCAGATACAGAACCAGATTCACAAAGTGTCATTCTCAATGCTGTACTGCTAGTAAGCGATGGAGCCGGGATTCCAACCTGGTTAGTCTAGGATCTGAAGTCTTTTGAGTATATTGTGCTCAGTTCTTTACTCCAGACCTTGCTATGCTTACATATACTATGTCTGTGTTACAACATGTAAAATTTATACATGTGTACAGGATAAGAATTATTAGCAACCAACAAAAATCACCATGTTAAGGATAGCACATTAAAGGCATTTCCATTAAAGACAGAAAAAAAGATATATTATCAACATGATTATTTAACGTTTTGCAGGGGAGTCTGGCTAATGAAAAAAGACAGCAATGAAAGACAAGGCATCTTTGCAGACATTATGATAATACATCAAGAAAATTCATGAAAACCAAATAAAAATTTATTTCAGTAAGCTATTCAACAGTTAACAGATTTCCTTTTATACCAAAAATAACTGGTTACTGGAATAACTGGAAATTTTCCATTCATACTAGCAAAAATAACTTAAATAATGAAAATAAGCTTAGCATAAATGGGGTAAAGCATTTATTTTAAAATAGAGTTATACTACATTAATGAATTACACAAAAAAGGACCTGAATAAGTGGAGATACCGTGCTCTTAGATAAAAGGTCTCACTATTATAAAGATGTGATTATCTCCAAATTAATCTGTAAATGCAATGCATTCCCAATATAATTGAAAATGACAACCGACAAGTTGATTCTAAACTTCATGTAAATATAAAATTCATTTAAAAAGTGAGCATTGCTTTTTAAAATAAAATATATCCTTTTTAAAAACCATGGTAAATAAAACAATGGAATATTAGCATAGAAGCAGTTCAGTGAATCAGAACCAAATACATACAAATAGGGCTGTGACTGGAAGATAACTTGTCAGGTGATAAAGAGGATATTTCAGTCCAATGAGAAAAGGATGGAACTGTCTACATCAAAAACATGGGGTGCAGGGAGGGTGGAGTGTAGCCTTCCTTAGCCCAATAAAAAAATGATCAGATAATTCACAGACATGGTAATACAAATGGAGAAAAAGAATATAAGTTATATAGTAGCCTCAGTACATGCACAGAAATAAATTTTGGATGTCAAAGAACTTATGCAAAATATTTTAAAATATGAAATAAATAGAAAATGAAAATGTAAATTGGAACTGCCTTTCTCAAGGATAATTTGATAATAGTTTTAAAATTCAAATATGCATATCTTTAAACCCAGCAATCTTAGAAAAGTGTGAACAAAAAAAAGTATGTTTCAAGAACATAATGGTAATTTTGTTGTGATATTGAAAAATGGTAACGCCCTAAAGGCCCCTCAAAAGGAACATTGTTAGATGAATAAAGTGTGTCCATACAATCAAATCCCCTGTAACAAGTCAAAAGAATAAGGGGACATGTCTGTATGGACATAGATCTCAAAATAGAGACATTAAAGAAAAATACATAACACGTGCCATTCCAGTTTTTTAAAAAAGAAATTAAAAATAAAAACAAATTAGATGAATAGTATAAAGAAGGATACACATCTGTGAATAGGAAAAATACACACTGGTCTCTGCCTCTTTGTGCTGACACAAAGTTTCTAAATTCCTCGGAATTTCCTGGGTGATAGGAGTCTCTTTTGTTCCAAAGAGGGACCTCTTGGTGGGCTCCTGGACAGCTTCAGGGTATCACGAGCAAGGCCATACATGACCCCCATCCTCCAGAAGGGGACAGTGCCCACGTGATGAAGCCTCCATAAAACCCCCAGAAGTACAGGATTGGGACAACTTCCAGGACAGTGAACACAGCCACACACTGGGAGGGTGGCACACCCCACCCCACGGGGACAGAAACTCCTAGACTTGGGGGTCTTCTGGACCTCACCCTATATATCTCTTCACCTGGCTGTTCATTTGTATCTTTTACTATCTCCTTTTTAATAAACCATTAACATAAGCAAATGTTCCCCTGAGTTCTGTGAGCCAGTCTAGCAAATCATCGACCCCAAAGAGGGAGTCCTGAGAATCCTAATTCATAGCCGGCCAGCCAGAAGCACTGGTAACAAGTACTTGAGACCGGAGTCTGAGGCAGAGAAAGGCAGTTTTGTGGGACCGAGCCCTGAACCTGTGGGTTCTGCGCTAAGTCTGGTCAGTGTCAGAATTAAACTGAATTTCAGGGTACCCAAACGGTGTCACAGAATTGCTTTGTGTGGGAACTGCCCCCGCAATGTTAGGTGGTGAATAAGCAGTCTGTGAGTGGAGGAGAACACAGAGTTTTTTTCTAGACAACATCAAACTGGGAAAAGAAATGGAACATTGGAAAAGGGGAGCCAATGTTACTCTTACTTAGCTCTTTTACAGAAGGTTGAATGTGAATTCTTCCAAAATTAACTAAAATCGCAGTGCAATACCAAACAAAATCCCACTTGTTTTCTTTTTAGAACTTAAGAATTGATCATCTATGAAAATATGCTGAAAATGTAGGTAAATATATTTTTGTAAAAGAGTAATGAGAAAAAGCTTGTTTACTAGACCTCCGAATTTAAAAGTTAAAATAATTAAGACAGTGTGGTACTGGTTCAGAAAAAGGCTGGTAAATCAAATGAATAGAATAGAGTCTGGAAATAGATCTATGCATATTAGTTGAGACCTTTTTCTTCTCAAGGAGCACTCTAAGTCTAATCTGCTTAAGCAAAACAAAAAATGCATTAAGGAATAGAAACTGTAAAAACCAATCTGTATGGACACATGGTCACATCAGCATTATTTACAACAGTCAAAAGGTGAATGCAGTCCCAGTGTTTATCACTGGATAAATGGTTAAATAAAATGTGATACATACATAAAATGGAGTATTACTGAGGCTTAAAAGGAAGGAAATTCTGACACATGTTATAAAACAGAGGAACCCTTAAGATATTATGGTAAGTGAAACAAACCAGACAGAGAAAGGCAAGTACTGTGTGATTCCTCTTATATGAGGTACCTAGAGTGGTCCAATTCACACAGACAGAAAGTAAAATGGTGGTTACCTGGGGCTGGGGGAGGGGACGTAGGAGTTATCATTCAATGTGTAGGGAGTGTCAGTTTGGGAAGATGAAAAAGTGCTAGAGAGAGTAGTGATGACTGTACAACAATGTGAATATACTTAAAGCCATTAAGCTTAAAATGGTTAAAATAGTAAATTTTATTTATTATTTATTTACTATTTATTTACATTTTGAGCCACTGCACTTAAAAATGGTGAAAGTAGTAAATTTTATGTTATGTAGATTTTGCCATAATAAAAAATCCACAGGAAAAGCAGAAATGCATCTGGGATTACTGAATAACCAGAATCAAGAATTCCAACACCGTCAGGTCTCTTTCCATGTCTTTTCATTGTATTGCTCTGCATACTGGTTTCACTTGTCTTTACTACAAAATATATTTCCCACGTGGTAGAAAGCCCAGATGTCAAACAACCCCTGAGTTTTATAATCAGAGTTTCAAATTCTCTCAGATTCCAAGATCAAAAATCCCAGGGAAGGGATCCACTGACAAAATTCTAATCAGGTACCCGTACCTGAACCAGTTAAGTATGGCTTAAAGGCTGGAGTCCCAGTGAACCAAGACAATGGCTATGCCACATAACTGAGGAAGACAGCATGCTAATTTTCTTTTAGCCATCCAATAATAAAAAGGTAGCTAATTAGACTTCAACAAATGTATAGAGAAACAAATCTTCCACTTCTAACCACAGAGAATACTTTGCATCAGATGAATCCTTGCTCCACAACGTGTAGGCAAAATTGATAAAATGTATCTGAAGATGTCACAGAGCAGCCAAATTAGCCAATACTTGGAGCAGGAATCTGAGGTAAGCAGAAAGTTCTGATCTATCTGGAGTAGAGTTTTTCCCACTCTAATGGAAATAATGAGACAAAAACTGGAGTTCAGAGCTTCAAAGGAAAATAGAACTTGATCATCCAAGACTCCTGAAAAAAAGAGAAAACCAGAGAAGTCAGAAGGTAATAAGTGGAATTAATGTATTTACATTTCCCACAATATGATAAGATAGTTCTAGTAAGTCATGTATTAATGCTGTCAATTTTAGGGTAACTTAACAAAGAATTATAAAAGAAGGCATATATAACAAGCTAAAAAGGCATACATATAATCTAAAAAGGTGATAAAGGAGAAAAAATAAAAAACTGATCAATAAAACAGAAAAATGGCATTACAGTAGATTTAAACCCAAATACTGATAATTTTATTAAATATAAATAAATGAAATATTCTAATTCATGATAAAGACTGTCAAAATTGATTTTAATGTCAAGCTGTATACTATTTAAAAGGTATTCCTCAAATAAAAGACACAAAAAGGATGAATAAAAAGACATACCATGAAAAAGTTAAACAATGAAAACTAGTATAGCTGTATTAATAATCACCAGGCAAACACAAAAAATGTTAGGGGAGGAAGAATTATTTCAAATAGAAACTATAACTTATATTGATAATCCAGAGCAATATAAAACAATCAAAATATACATATGCACCTGGTAACATAAGCTCAAAATATATAAAGCAAAAACTTAACAGAAATAAGCAGAGAAATAGACAAATCCACAATAAGATATAGATTGTGACCACAGGATTAGCAATTTGGAATGTAACCAATTCCCTCTACTAATGAGAGAACTGAATAAATGGAAGGTTATACCATGCTTATGGATTACAGGACCCAATCATGTAAAACTATAAATTTTCCCAAAGTTAGTGCTTCACTTCAATGCAATCTCAATGAAAACCCAAGGCTTATTTGAAATGGCATACAGAAATGTAAAGGGCAAAGGCTAGCAAAGATGATCTTGTAAAAGAAGAAAACTAGAGCACCTGTGCTGTGTTCACAAGCAGGTGGTCTTGACAAAAAGGGGAGATGAATCAACCAATCAAGCACGGGAGTCCAGAAATATACGGTCATCTGTTCTACAATGAAAACACCACTGTAGCACTTCTCAATAAATTCTGCAGTCAGCTGGCCTACCTATACAGGGGGAATATGAGTGTTGACTGCTTTTTTATACCACATAAAATCAATTTACAATGGCTTACAGCTGTAATGAAGAAAGGCAAAACAATGAAGCATCTAGTAAAAACACAGAGAATGCCTTCATGGCCTTGGGTAGGCCATGATTTTGAAATTAAGCAAGACACAAAAGCACTAATTTTAAGGAAAACATTGAAAAGGTAGACTTCATGAAAATTAAGAACTTGTTTTTTAATGACATGATTAAGAAAAAAACTCTAATTTTATACATTAAGATACACACACATGCACACAGACACACACACACACACACACACATATCGAGGGACACATACCCAGAAAAAGAAAAACCTCCAACTAAAATAATACAAAAAGGACAAGCCAATTTTAAAATGGGCATAAGACTTGAAAAGATACTTCATAAAAGAAGCTACCCAAAGGACTGAAAATCATATGAAAAGGTACTAACCTTCATTAGTTATCAGAAATATATAATTAAAACCATAATGGGATACCACTACATACCCACTGGTGTGACCAAAAACTTTAAAATAACACCAAGAATTGACCAGTATCTACAACTGGTGCTCACTTACACTGTTGTCATTGTAATAATTTGGCACAATTTGGAAAACGTTTAAATCACACTTAACCTTATGAACTGTCAGTTCTACTCTGGGGTAAATGTCTAACAGAAATATGTGTGTATATAGTTTATGTGTTTAATTGTCTTATGTGTTTATTACAAAGAACGTGACTATGATTATTCTACATGCTTGTTGGTGTATGTGTACAATGTCCATCAATAATACAATGGAAAATTTACAATATATTCCAGAACATGATGCCAGACAGATGAATGAACTATTGATGTCTGCAACAACATGGACGGTCATAATCATCTAAGACCAACATCGTGTTGACTGAAAGAAACCAGACATAAAAGAGTATGGAAGTAATCTATGGTGGCAGAGTGGGACAGTGCTTAAACGTAGGGTGGAAGAGTAAATGACTGGGTGGGGACTCCAAGAAGCCTTCTAGAATGGAAACGTACTGCCTTGATCTGGTCACACACATGGGTTCACTTCTGAGTCAGTATTTATAACGTGCATGCACTTTTCTATATGTATGTTATACTTCCATTGAAAAATTTAATTTAAGGAATGTGAGGAAACCAATGTTCTTTATTCACTGATGATAAGAGTTTAACTTGGTAGAGCCTTTTTGGAGGACAATTTGGTAATATTTACCAATTGGATCATTTCATTTCTAGGAGTCTATCATAAGGATATATTCACTAGTAATAAAGAAAATAAAGAGAATAATAAATAATTTTTTAAACACTTATGTGTCATGTACTGTTTCAGACAATTTAAATGTGTTAATGTACTTATTTGGAATTAATAAATAAATACACTAATTACTAAATAATGATGTTATCCCATTGTATAAAGGTGTGAATAGTAGCATTATAATAGTAAATATTAGAAACATAAATAATTACCAATAATAAAATATTTGTTCACACAATGAATAATGTAAATATATATGAAAATGCATTCATACATAATTTATTAACAAAATAAAAAACAAGTAATTACTTTACAGCTCATTTTGTTTTAAAAACTAAAGATAAACACACACATACATAGAAATAAACCAGGAAGGACATGATTTAAACTGTTGTTTGGTTTCTCTGGTGGGTGGAGTTGTGGGAAGGACTCATACTTTGAAGTTTATACATTTCATTATTTAGGTTTCACAGAATGTTTACAATGAGCATATGTGTGTTGTATTCATGGTTAAGAAAAGCCATTCCCTATCAAAAGTAATAATAACAATACATCTTAATTTGCCCATTCTTGAGCTCATTCAAAGCTCAAAGCAATGTAAAATAAAGTCAGGAAATAGTTTATCTTAAAATACATCTAATAAGGATTAAGTGGAACGTATCTCAACACTCCTGCATCTAACTTCCTTCACATTTTTTTCAGCCAAATCTTAAGAGTGATCTTTAAATCCTTTTCCTCTTAACACTAGCAAATTCCAAAAAAAATATGCATGGTAATAAATATTTTTATATTCTCTTTATGAGAAAACTATGTCTATATTTCTTACGGCTTTGTTTTTGGTAATACTGAATGGAAACTTTAATTCACGAGGTCTAAAAGTAGACTTTGCATAACAACGCAAGTGTAAAAACCATTAGTGGCAACAGCATTTGCTAAATACTGACATCTGACTGTGTGATAGATCAAGTTTAGCAGCTTTGGGGTATCTAATTCTAAAAAATGAAGGTATATGGAACAAGAATAAGAAGTTCTTGGCACCGAGGTCAACAGACCTTCCTCTGATAGAACTGTTGTTTTTCAGCCTCACCTAAGTAAAAGGAATGTTTTGAAGAGTTGAATTTCAAAATAAGTGGGCCAAATTGCAGGACATAAACACTATATTTATATGTACACAAAAAATTTAGGAAAATTCATAGCCAGGAGAAGTCTATTTTAAGCCAAAATGTTTAAAATCTCTCTTCATGATGGCCTTCTGATTAAACAGTTCATCAAGACAGATTGCAAGCCCTTTAGTATTCATGCCTAAAAGGTCAGAAAACTTTGGCAAGAAAGGGAAGAAAAAGAACAAGAAAAAAAGAAAGAAATGAAAACAAACAAGAGACTTGAAGGAACTGTGAGCATCCAAACCCTGGCATTAGATTTGGCAACAGGTGAATTTTCTTTGGAGGGTATTAATTTTGTAAGTCAAAGCTATTAAAATCCAACTTCCCGTTTCAGGTCTGGAAGGCATAATGCACAGGTCTCTTGCTCCAGCTCTCCCTAGGGGCTGTATTTTATCCAACTAGTCCCACTCCCTTCACTGGCTCATATTGTAAGTGCAAAATCTACTGGCCAAGACCATTCATTTAGTCTTGCCACATACTGTGCGGAAGTCTATGTCAAGGTTAATCGGGCCTTCCGGGATAAATATACATGGCTCTACAAAATGCACAAAGCTATGGTTCCCAAAAATGTCTCCTGGTACTTTTAAATCTCAGAGAAATGTTCAATACTCTTTTGCCTCACAGCTCAGAAACAGATGAACTTCCATTAATTTGTAAAACAGTTGTGCACCACCCTTTATTTTCATCTCACTCCTCAAGATGTCTGACTCCAACAATCCTTTGACCACAGCAGAATCAATGTTATGTTTCCTTAAAATACTTGTACTTCTTCTCTCTCTCTCTCAGAGGGCTATTTCTTTTTTCTTCTTTAACCTCAATTCCTCCTATATTCTCTGCCATCAGTCCCATCACAAGGGATGAGCTCTCTATGACCTGTTTGATGCCAACCCATCCGCTTGTGCCCAGCTCTGATCCCTTCTTGCCCAAGTCTCCTCTCTGTCTCCTTCACTGCCCATTTTTACCCAGCCTACTCACTATTATTCAAAACAAACATACTAGTCCTCATCTTTCAAAACTCTCTCTTCATACCTCTTACCTCTCCAGCTACTGTCTTATTTCTTTTCTGTCACAGAACTCTTCCGAGTGTTTTCTATCCTTACTGCTTCCAAATCACCCCTCCTATTCTCTTAATCTTATTTCAAGGAAGCTCCCCTCCCCCACCTCTCCACAGAAGCTGCCTGGGTTGAGAGCAACAAAAATCTTTACACTATTTAATCTGACAGTTATTCCTCGACCCTCATTTAATTGGTCAGTTTCCAACATTTGACACAATCAATCACTGCTTCCTTCTGAAAACACATTTCCCAGCAGACATCTAAGACAAGACTACCCTCCTGATTTTCTTCCTACCTAAGTGTCCAGTTTTCAGTCTCCTTTTCTGGCTCCATCACCTTCCCAATTCGCAGTTTCCCAGGCCACGGTCCTTTGTTCTCTGTGCTTACTCACTCTCTAGGTAATCTCATCCAGGCTCATAATTTATCTATTTA